GTTTTACATCACAGGATTAAGGGGACATGGGTGTCACGAACGCACCCTACTCCAAGAGTGTGCGTGACGTAGTTGTGGTGGTGAAAGGGTTAAAGTACACTATTTGTCTGCACTAGACCGGAAATAATGACAAAATCCCCCTTTAACACCACCCACACTTAAACATAATAATATAACTATTACTACTTTAACGCTGCCACCACCAAGACAATTTATAAATGGGGTGCCTTGGTCCCCCAGGTAAATCAATAATAAAACCCACCAAATATTACTTAGTACAATATTTAAGGAATTATAAAAATACTAACTAGCCTCTTCAGGTAACGTGATTCTTAACCAGACAAAGGCAAAACTTAATAAATGAATGTTTATTATGAGCAAAAGATAGTCACAGTGCATATAAAAATACATGATAAACAAATTATTTACACCAACAACAGATAAAAACAAAAAGGATAAAATACAGAAGTCCTAATTACTCACTTAGGTTTTCAAAGTACAACTTCTGTCCAGGGGGTCTCTGGCAAGGAAAGATGGTGACTCACCCAAAATTAGATCTTGGCCCCAAGCAAGTACACCAACACCCTTCAGGATCATTAGATATATACCCTGTGGTTTATCAAGTCTTGCCCAGGGGTGGAGTTAAGGCGTACCTACAGTAATAATAACTGACCACCTCCTTTGTTCCAGACCACTGTCAATCCAAATGGAAACATTTGACTCTATCTTCTTTTTTGTACCTGCCACAGAAATAATAATTGCATCTACAAATTTGTTATTATTTTCCCATTCTATAGACATGTTGCACGTCCCACCCACGATCCAATAGGACGGACATCACAATTCCTTTCCCTAGGGTCAAGTTAGGCCACTCATGTTTGGACTTGGTTAGAAGATGGCGCTTGTCACATTCCAAATATAACAAAAATGAGGCTTTATTATTATTCTGTGGGGGTAAATATGAATGTTTTTGTCCTTCCTTTGGATATGATACTGGAACAAAGATAATGGCATTTACATATCAAAGAGATTGGCTCATCACTTACAAAGTACATGCCAAATGGATGAAGAGACATTCAGACTTTTCCAAGTGTAGAACCTCTCACCTTGCAGACTTCACATCCATACAGTAAAATCCTTTTCACATTCCTATGCCATTCACACTACCCCTTCTGCCATCTGCCCTCTGTGGGGGTCCCAGCTTCAAAAGATGTAACCCCTGTTGACCTCAGCAATAGCATCTCTGTAATTTGTGCCATTTACTACAAGAAATCACATTAAAAGATGATATTCCATAGTGTCATAATAAATTATACACCCTTGCCGTGACAATGGGCACTGCACAAAAACCATTTCAATGAGATGAAGTGATGTGGGTGCCTATACTGTCCCTTTACATAGTATAAGGTAATACGATAATAAAAATATTTTGATGTTTTAACCATAGGCTATGTTTTTTGAGTCTACACCATATATTCCACTTTTCTTCACAAATATAATTTTTTTAGTTATAGAGCATCATTCACTTTCAAGCAACTGTGAATTTTGGAAATATTACTATATTTCCATTCAAGAGTGGAAAGGAATTAATTGGATTTTGAGCTTTAGCTTTGGATATACATGTGTATACATTTACAGTGCTACATACTAGGTGTAAGAAGACAATGACACTGCTTCAAGGAATGTAAAACAAATCTGTTTTATATAAAATACAAGACACTGAAAAAAAAAATGAAAAAAATGAAAAAAAAACAACAACAAAAAAGACATACTAGTCATAGAACGTGCCAAAGGACCAGATGTTATGTCAAGTACTAAATCTTTCACATAATCTTTGCATTGTTAGACAATCAGTGATATTAAGATATAAACTAAGTTCGAATAGGCCCTGTGTAGTGTGGGTAGAGGTTAAAGTTTCTTCTACTCATTATCAAGCAAGTTGCTACCAGCTGTCATGTTCACAGTGGCGTACATACCAGGGTCGCAGGGGTTGCGGCTGCGACCGGGCCCGGCCCACCAGGGGGCCCGGCAGCCCCTGCGACCCGGTATGTAGCCACAGGGCAAGCCTCTTCCCCTGGGGGGCCCAGGAGCCGACCACCCCAGGGCCCCCCAAGGCTGGCCCTGCTGACCCCCGGCGGGCGGGTGGCCGGTCGGGCAGGCAGGCGGGCGCGCGAGGGAGCACTCAGTGCTTCCTCTTCAGCTCCCTCGCGCACTGCACTGATACCGGAGCCGGAAGATGACGTCATCTTCCGGCTCCGGCATCCCTACGTGGTGCGCGAGGGAGCTGAAGAGGAAGCACTGAGTGCTCCCTCGCGCCCGCCTGCCTGCCCGACCGGCCACCCGCCCAGGAGCCCAGCAGCACCACTGGACCCCAGGGAATCCCCCCAGCACTCCAAAAGGTAAGGAGGCTGGGGGGATTAAATAAAAAAAAAAACATGTATTAGTGTTAGTGTTTGAGTGTGTGTGAGTGTGAGTGTGAGTGTTAGAGTGAGTGTTAGTGTGAGGGTTAGTGTGAGGGTTAGAGTGTGTGTGAGTGTTAGTGTGTGTGTGTCTGCTAGTGAGTGTTAGTGTGAGTGTTAGAGTGAGTGTGTGTGTGTCTGTTAGTGAGTGTTAGTGTGTGAGTGTCTGCTAGTGAGTGTTAGTGTGAGTGTTAGAGCGAGAGTGTGTGTGTCTGCTAGTTAGTGTGAGTGTTAGTGTGTGTCTGCTAGTGAGTGTGAGTGTTAGTGTGTGTGAGTGTTAGAGTGAGTGTTAGTGTGTGTGTCTGCTAGTGAGTGTCAGTGAGTGTGCTACTGTGTGTGTCTTACTGAGTGTGTGTGTGTTAGTGAGTCTGTTTGATGTCTGTTAGTGAGTGTGTGTTTGTCAATGAGAGTGTATGTTTTGTAAGTGAGTGTGTATGTATGTCTGTCGCTGACTGTGTCTCTGTCAGTAAATGTGTGTGTCTGTTAGCTAGTGTGTATGCGTCTGTAAGTGTGTGTGTGTCTTCAGCACTTACCTTTCTCCAGCGCCGGACTCCCTTGGCGCTGAGGATCCCTCAGCCTCTCAGCTCCGAATGCGACCGTGCACGCATTCAAACCGCCCATAGGAAAGCATTACTCAGTGCTTTCCTATGGACGTTCAGTGTGCTCCTCTAGCGGCTGTCAGTGAGACAGCCACTAGAGGCTGGATTAACCGTCAGTGAAACAGCAGTTTCTCTGAAACTGCTATGTTTTCAGCTGCAGGGTTAAAACTAGAGGGACGTGACACCCAGACAACTTCATTGAGCTGATGTGATCTGGGTGTCTGTAGTGGTCCTTTAACCCCTTCCCGACCCAGGACGGTTCAGGACCGTCATCGGCATTTTTGCGTTGCCGACCGATGACGTTCCTGAACCGTCCTAACGGTCTCCGTTACTTACCTGATCGCCACCGTTCCCCCGGCGGCGATCAGCGTGGCTCCGGTTGTGCGGAGACTGTCTGCAGCCCAGACAGTCTCCCCACACTGAATTAGGACCTCTGTGGCCATGTGATCGCTTAACACAGCGATCACATGATCACAATAGGTGTCCATGTGTCTGCCTGCAAGGGGACTGCCTGTGCTGACAGGCAGTCTCCCTGCTAGTGTAAAATCAAAAAAAATAAATAAAGTTAATGTTAATTAAAAAATAATAATAATTATATATGTGTATATATGATATATAGACATATATTATATTTATATAATATATGTCTATATATCATATATATAATGCCATACTAAGTGTATTTTTATATTAATATGTACTTATATTAATATAAAAATACACTTATAATTAAATTACACACATATATATAATATATATAATAACTATTTATATTGTATATATATATATTATTATAAAATATAAATAATAAGTAATTTAAATTAAATTAAACTTTTTTAAATAATAAAATATTTACAAAAATTATATAGCTATATGAAATTTTATTCTAACTGTATTTTAAAATTAATATATATATTTATATCAAAATACACTTAGAATGAATTTGTATATATAACTATGTATATAAAAATAAATAAAAATAATACGAAATATACATATGTCCATATACAAAATTACATAAATAATTATATAAATATACACGTAGACTTCAAATATATAAATATGCATATATATTTAAATTCTACGTGCGTATTTATGTAATATTTTACATAATTCAGTAATTTTATTGATTGCAATTTGAGGGACCTGCCAAACCCAGGTTACTTTTTTCACACACAAACAAATATGAATGCTTACTTTGGCCAGTGTTTTCGACTAAGTGGCTACTAAAAAAGACTGGACATACCCCATATTGAATACCCTGGGTTGTCTACTTTAAAAAAAATATGTACATGTGGGTGTTATTCAGAGATTTATGACAGATAATAGTGTTACAATGTCACTATTGATAAATTTTAAAAATGTATGTTTTGAAACCGCAATATCCTACTTGTACCTATAGCCCTATAACATGCAAAAAAAAGCAAAAAAGCACGTAAACACTAGGTATTTTTAAACTCAGGAAAAAATTTTGAATCTATTTAGCAGTTTTTTTCATTCGCTTTTGTAGATGAGTAAAAGATTTTTCAAGTAGAAGTAAAAAAACATGTATTTTTTTCAATTTTTCATCATATTTTTTTTATTTTTTTAAAATTAAAATACATGAGATTATATAAATAATGGTATGTAAAGAAAGCCCCTTTTGTCCTGAAAAAAACAATATAGAATTTGTATGGGAACAGTAAATGAGAGAGCGGAAAATTACAGCTAAACACAAACACCACAAAAGTGTAAAAATATGCCTGGTCGCAAATGTACAACATGGCCAAAACAGTCCAGTCCTTAAGGGGTTAAAGGACCACTATAGTGCCAGGAAAACATACTCGTTTTCCTGGCACTATAGTGCCCTGAGGGTGCCCCCACCCTCAGGCACCCCTTACCGCCCGGCTCTGGAAAGGGGAAAAGGGGTAAAACTTACCTTTTTCCAGCTCTGGGCGGAGAGCTCTCCTACTCCGATCCTCCTCTTCTCCTCCCCGTCGGCTGTATGCGCACGCGCGGCAAGAACTGCGCGCGCATTCAGCCGGTCACATAGGAAAGCATTCATAATGCTTTCCTATGGACGCTGGCGTGGTCTCACTGTGAAAATCACAGTGAGAGGACAGCCGCTAGAGGAAATAGGGGAAGGCTTAACCCATTCAGAAACATAGCAGTTTCTCTGAAACTGCTATGTTTATGAAAAAATGGGTTAACCCTAGCTGGACCTGGCACCCAGACCACTTCATTAAGCTGAAGTGGTCTGGGTGCCTAGAGTGGTCCTTTAAGTGTGTGTGCATCTGCATGCACTGGCGTACATACCGCGGTCGCAGCCCTGTAACCTCTGCGACCAGGTGCCCACCGTCATGTGTTGCGGCCCGGCCCGCGCGCGGGAGGGGGGAGGGGGGGCCCACGGATCAATTTTCGCACCGGGGCCCCATGGGTCATGTGTACGCCACTGCATGTTCATATATACATGTATACATTATACAGATCCTAGTGGCAGAAGGAAAGTAGAGAGGGCCCTGGTGCAAGAATGTTTTTGGGGCAGCCCTATCGCAATAATGGAAAAAAGGTAGATCCCATCTATTGTACAACTCTTACAATACTTTGCCACCTGGGGATCTACCTCTTGCACATCCATGCAGGCTTGTATTTAGCACTGAGCAGTGCCTGCATGTCTGAATGTAAGCATGATTTTGTATGGACTATGTATGTGTAAATTTAGGGGTGTGTATTTGTATGTACTGTTGCCATTTGAAAGCCATGGTTTACTTGTGTGTAGTATTTGCCTTTGAATGTAGGTGTGTGTCTGTATGTAGTGTTGATGTTTAAATGCACAGTTGTATTTGTACGCACACTGATACACACTGATACACACTTATACAGACACACTGACAAACACTCACACATCTGGATACACAGACACACAGGTACACACAGTGGTGTATCCTGGTTTTGTGCTGCCTTAGGCATGACAAAACTCAGGCGGACCCTTGCGCCCGCCTGCCCCCCCTGCCCACCCCTGGCCCCGCCTTCAAAATACACATACACATTCAGTGTCAGACACACACATTCACTGACAGACACACAGACAGACATACACTAGCTAACAGACACACACACTCACTAACAGATACATACAGTCATTAGCAGACACACACATTCACTAACAGATACACAGAAACTAACAGACACACTTTGTTACACACTCACTAACAGACACACATACACACTAACAGACACACACTCACTAACAGACACACACTCCCTCACTCACAGACACACACAGTCACTCACTAACAGACACGCACACATTTTAACACACTCACTTTAAAAAAAAAATTAAATCCCCCCAGCCTCCTTACCTTTGGGAATACTGGGATAGATTAACACTTTCCCTGGGGTCCAGTGGGCTGCAGAGCGGGCGGGCACTTTCCCCTGAGCTCTCTTCTCTGCTCCCTTGCGCGCCGCGTAGTGATGCCGGAGCCAGAATATGACGTCATATTCCGGCCCTGGCATCACTGCGGTGTGCGCGAGGGAGCTGTACAGGGGGATTAGTGCTCCCTCGCTGCCAGCCCAGAGAGTTCTGCCACTGCCAGACGGCTTTTTTTGCCGCCCCCCAGAAAGTGCCGCCCAAGGCAAATGCCTTGTTTGCCTCGGGGTAAATACACCCCTGGGTACACACACGGACACACATGCAGATACAAACACTGACACACATGCAGATACACAGATACACACATTGACACACATACAGATACAAACACTGACACACATATAGATACACAGGTAAAGACATGCAGATACACAGACATTCACTGAGATACACAAACGCACAGATACACACATTGACACACCTACAGATACAAACACTGACACACATATAGATACACAGGTAAAGACATGCAGATACACAGACATTCACTGAGATACACAATCGCATAGATACACACACCAACACACATACAGATGCACAGATCCACACAAACACTGACAAATGTGCAGATACACTAATACACATACACACACAATGAAACACATGCAGATATACACACAATGACATACATGCAGATGCACAGACACACAGATACACACAATGTCACTCATACAGTTGCAAACACTGACACACATACAGATACACAGGGACACACACACAGACAACACATACACACACAGGTCATTGTACATATTTTTAGCCACCACCCTGCTTTTATACCTCTCTGGTGCAGGAGGGTGGCTTACCTGGGGTCCAGTGGCATCTCTATTGTGCTCTCCTCAATCCAGTGCAGCTCGTTTGTAAGTTATGAGGAAGTGACTTATTCTCACTTGCTCCCACCACCACCTCCATTACACAGAGCAGGGGAACCAGTCATGCCGTTAAAGGGCCGTTGCGCCTGACAAGGCCCCTGATGAAAAATCTGCACCGGTGCAGCTGGTGCGGTAGTTCAGACACTGGATAAACCCATATTGACTTTTTCATATGTTTGATAATATTTATGATTTTTGTTATTATTATTTATAAAGCGCCAACAAATTCTGCAGCGCTGTACAACGATGACCATTGTTTTTTTTAAATAATATGTCCCTTTCAGGTTTATAAAAAATCTTATATATTATGACAAACTAAAATATTATCTGTGTCTTAGTGAGGTAGTTTGTTGCTATACAATTAGGCACTTGTTATGTTTAATTGTCAGGAAAGTCCACAAAATGGCAGAGACATTTACGGTAAATACTGCTGTATAAAATAATCAAAGGACTACAAAATAGCAGGCTACATACATACATACAATATATATTTACTAATATGTTAGGAAAGATGTTTTATTTTATTGTAATGAGCATACACATATTATGCATTTCATGTCCCTTGTAACTGTGTGTTTGTGTGTATGTGTTTATGTAACCTTATTTACATCATGAACATGTTTTCTAGTAGAATGTTTGATATACCTTACATAACAACTACATCTGGAATGTATGTGAATACAGTAAAGGACATCATATACACACCAGACTGAAATGTATTAGCCATTGCATGAGGCTGCTATAGGATTGTCACTGCACACATCAATAAAGCTCTGTTAATGTATCTGTCATTGTCTGTTTCACTAAAGCTTCTCTTTGATATTTATGACTGAGTATTGTGTGTAGCTGAAGTAATTAGAAAGCATTAAACAAATGTTAACCAATGTATGTCAAATAATCTTAACCCTTGCTACCCTGACAGTGTTGCTATTTCTTTCTAGTGGATTTTAGATGAGAAACCTAAAAGCAAGCAGATACATTGGCTAATGTTCTGACCTTCTGAGGTTATTTCGCAATTGGGTTCAATGAAGGAAATGCTTACAAACCAGGATACATTGTTTATGTCAAATTTAATGCAAAGTCTCTGCAAGACCACACATGTGCAACACCTGGTAACCTGCCCACACCAACCTCAAACTATGGGTCTCTTTGAGAGACATAATAGGAAGCTTAAAGGGACACTATAAGCACCAAAAGAACTTTACTTTAAAGGAGGGTTTTTAGTGTATAGATCATGCTCCTGCAGTCTCAATGCTCAATTCTCTCTAATGTAGGAGTTAATTAACGTTGCATATGCAGCTCTAGCCACACCTCCTTGCATGTGACCTACACAATCTCCCTTCTCATTTCCCGTAAAGCTAGATCTAATGTTTAAACTTCTTTTATTGCACAGTCTGTTTAATTAAGAATGTCTTAACTCCTGCTCTGTTAAGAGCATGTTAGAGCCTTCAGGAGCCTCCAATGTGTGATTAAAGTTCGATTAACAGAGCAGGAGATAAAAACATTTAATGTAAATAAACTGTTCAATCACATTTTTAGTCTGTTTGAAAAATGAAACCATATTTTCAGGAAGTCTGTGTGAGTCACATACAGGGTGTGGCTAGGGGAACATAAATATAAACAAAGGTGATTTAACTGCTGAAATTGAGAGCATTGAGCAGTGTGACTATAGGGGTATGAGCTATAAATTATTTTTTTTTCATTACACTGATGTTGTTTTGATGCTTATAGATTCACGTTAATGCATTTGTAGACCTCCAGCGTGGAGATTAGGTGAAGTACCTACCTCCTTTTTATGCCTATTGAGAGGTACACCTGAAATTTTCACCATTTCAAAAGCTGTGTAAGTGAACGGTGTGTGGTCCCTAAATTGTCCTCTATTTCCTTGGTCCTGAATGAGTTAAAACAACAAAAATGAATCTATTCAGCTTTTATTTTTTTTAAAAAGTTGAAAAGAATAGGCCAGTTTCTAACTCAAACACCTCTGCTGGAAGGCCCCTCTCTTATAATAACTCTGTTTTACCCTTGTAAATTGTGATTTAAAGGTTTTGAAATCTTTGGCAGGCTTAAGATACAATTTTGTTGTTGTTTTTTCCTACCCTTTTCTTTCCTTGTGAATAAATGCTGGCTCAAGAGGCAACTTTGGGGCTCTGAGAGATGTTGGCCCGTGGACAGTTAACACTTGGAAGAAATGTCGAGGGGAGAAGTTTGAACAGCACAAATGAAGTTTATTAAAAGGTCCATCCCATTTAAGCGTTACAGAAATCCTCTCTACTTTGTGAGAATAACAATTGCCAATATATAATTAGAAACAATTGAGACATCATATTACACCAGTCTGTCTGATTCCAAAGCATTGCAAGTTTGCTTGCTGTAACATAACCTCCTTACCCAATAGAATTGGCTTGCTTTACATAGAATTTATCAGTGTCATTTGGCAGGATTAGTAGATGCTTCTCCCGAAAGAAATGCTTCAGCCAAGAAGGTGCCACTCATTCTACAAACACAAGAAAAACAAATTAGGTTACGTTTTAACCCCTTCAGGACCAAACTTCTGGAATAAAAGGGAATCATGACATGTCACACGTCATGTGTCCTTAAGGGGTTAAAGACTCCTGACTGCAAAATTAGACAAATACAACTTAAACTGAAAACATGTATGCATTTTTTAAAACTGTTTTTCTCTTCTTTATTTTAAAACTAGTTAAATTATATATTAGAAACACTAAGATTGATAAGTCTGTGAGGTAGTAGGCACTTTATAAATGAAAGTATTTAGACTACATGGGCCGAATGGTTCTTATCTGCCGTCACATTCTATGTTTCTATAAATACAATTAATATTTAAAAGCCATTTAAGCAGCTGTGTGATGTACCTGCCTGCCAGGTGTGCTCACA